TCCCCCTGTAAACTGAGGAGTCAATGGGTGAGAGACAGGGGAGGGAAGAGGGATGAATAGTGGAGAGGTACCTGGGGAGTCAAATGTCAGGCAAGTTATAATGTGTCATAAATCCAATCTCTATATTTAGTCCATGATTTTTAGTATCAAGAGAAAGTCGGATGGAGAGATGGCGATTGTTGAATTTCTGATGGAACTCAAAATCAGAGATTCAGTCCAAATGATGATGTCATCAACATATCTTAAGTATAGCAAGGGTTTGATGGTACAGCCCTTTAGGAAGTCACCCTCCCTCCATCCAACTCTCTCTTGAATACTCCAGCACCAACATCTCCTTTTTAGACACCATGATCAGTATCCAGAAACTCACAGACCAACATACATATCAGGACAGAACCAGCAATCACCCTAAACACACCAAAAAAGCTGTGATATACAGCCAAGTCCTCAGATACCACCAAATTGGCACTGAGGAGAATACCTGGGATCACCACCTCACCAATCTTAAAAAGGCTTTCACCCAACAAGGACACTCCTCCAGAGAGACAGATTGCAAGTTTGAAAGAGCCACCCGGATACTAGGGCTGTGCAAAGCTTCAACTTAATATTTGACATATTCGACCTTGAAAAGTGAAAGTTGAGTCGAATAGCAGCTGGTCAAATAGCTGTCAGATTAAATACTGGAAGTTGAAAATTAACAGTGCAGGTCGAATATTTGATAAGGGTCGAATATTCAACTTGCCTCTACTGGATTCCCTGTGGGGGGGGAAAAAAATGGAAAGTAAGGGGAGGGAGGGGGGAGGAGGAAGGAGTGCTTTCATGACTGACATGTGTGGCTGGCCAGTGACCTGTCAGCATTCTGTGAGGTCCCTTCCAATCCCAGTGCTCTGGGGGAGGGCCAGAGAAAATGCATGAAGGGCAGCAGCTTTTCAGCTCCCCTGCTTTCTGCCTTGGGGTCAGTTTCTGAGCTGCTGGTGTTCTCCAGCACCTCTGCGTCAGACCACAACGGGTGGAAGCCCTGATCTTCAACAGATTCTCTGCTTGCAATGCTAGCAACAGGGATTTCTGAGAACTTGGTGCTTTTACTTTATAACTACTTTTCATATTAGTTTACGCTTATGATGGATAGGGTTAGTAGTAGCCTAGAATCTATCTATATCTATAATCGGAATTTAGTTTATATATTTTTTTTAATACATCATTCATTCTTTCCACCACACCAACGGTTCTCAATATATTATCTACACACACTTACATAACATCCAGAAATCTAACCTGCGGCGCACAGCACACTTAGAGGTTCCAGTTTACCTACAAAGGAACGCATTATGAAGCGGGGTGGAAAGGCAGGCGGCCACACAGGCCAGCCTGCACGAAGGGAAGCAAGGGGGGTTGCAAACAGGAGAGCTGCAGTTTCTCCCCCCCCACCAAACTCAGACGCAGCCTCTTTCCTCCCGCTACAAGCGATGAGGCTGCTACAAGCAGTAAAGAGAGGGAGCAGCAGTGCCACCAGAGCCACTGCCTGTGCCTGAGACTCTGTCATGTCCAGACACAGCAGCCACCTCTCCCACCATAACTGCAACCAGCACAGCAGCTCACTCCACCCGTGTCACTGCCTATGCTGAGCCCTCCAGCGCCAGAAGAAGAGCTGGCGCTGGATCGGGATCTCAGTGCCCTGCCAAGGGAAGTGCTGGGGAATACTGGGGGCAAAAGGGACCAGTTGCAAATGCAAGCAAGGTCACCCAGAGCATTGGGGAGATGCTTGCTCTGGACAGCCAGCACTTCACCTTTGTTGAACGGCCAGGGTTCAGGCGGCTCCTGGCACTGCTGGCTCCATCCTACCAGGTGCCTGCACGCACCACCTTCAGCAGGACAGTGGTACCCTCCCTATACGAAGCACGCAGGGAGCACTTGAGGGAGGAGCTGCACAAGGCAGGTCCGCAGGGGACTGTACACTTCACCTCGGACATCTGGAGCAGCCAGGGTGGAGATCATGCGTACCTCTCCCTCACAGGGCCTGGTATGGCCAGTCAGGCTGTCAGTGGGCTCTCCTTCACGCCAACGTGATGGATGAGTCCCACACAGCAGCAGAGACAAGGGGGACCACGAACCGCATGGTGCAGGGGTGGCTGAGTGTTGGGCAGGCTGAGCACACCCACGGCTTCATGGTCACCAACAATGGGGCCAATATGGTCAAGACAGTCTGTGATGCCAACTTTGCTGGTATTCGCCGTGTGGTACACAATTTACATCTAATTGCGAGGGATGCCTTGGAGGGGGACAGGGCTGCCGGTGATGGCGCCAGCAACACCAGCAGGCTCGTTTCCAGATGCAGCAAGGTGGCAGGCTACTTCCACTGGAGCATCAAGGGGGTCAAGATGCTGCGGGACAAACAAGCAGAGCTAAGTGTCCTGCAGCACAGAATCATCCAGGATGTGGAGATTCGGTGGAGCTCCACATACCTGATGCTCAAGAGGCTGGTGGAGCAACAGAAGGCCATGAGCCAGCCTTGCTTGGGGAGATTGGGATCAGCAGCCCCCTGACCAAAGCTGAGTGGGATGCCATCTCCCAGATCTTGCTGGTCCTCAAGCCCTTCCTCAGGGCCACAGAGACCCTCAGTGCTGCTGATGCCTTCCTCAGCCAGGTGGCCCCCATAGTGAAGGAACTCCACAGCCAAATGGAGAGCTTCCTGGGGGCCAATGTTCCTGGCTGGGGTAGGGCGCTTTCACGAGATGTGCAGGCACTGGTGAGGCGGCTGAAGGAGGGCCTTAGGAAAAGGCTTGAGCCCTTGGGGTGCAACACAGTGCATATGCTGGCCGCCATCTGTGACCCAAGGGTGAAGGGCACCATATGTGGCAGCGAGACACTGAGTCACTGGAGGCAGGCAGAGGCGGAAGGAAGTGGGACAGGTGGGTCCACTGCCTGAACCCAGCCTGCCATCCATGAGCCAGTCTTCCCCTCCACCACAGGCTCTGCCAATATGGGTTAAGGCCATGGCAAACATTAGGGGGTCCAGACCCACCAGACCCCAGGATCAGGCAGACAACCTTCACACCGTGGTGTCTGCCTATCTTGCCGAGCCTGTGGAGCCCCTGGACTGCGACCTCTTGGCCTACTGGGCAACCCGCAGCCCAATGTGGCCAGATCTGGCCACAGTTGCCCAGGTATACCTGTCCTGTCCACCGACCAGTGCACCAAACGACAGGGTGTTCAGCATGTCACATGACACCCCACTGCACCTGCTTGGATCGTGCTTTGGGGGAGCAGCTGGTGTTCCTCAAGGTGAACCTCCTGCTGCCGGGGTCCCCAAGCTCCAGGTGCAGATGGAGTGAGTGCCACCCTCCTCACTCCATCTGTATCACAAGTTTTGTCTGTCAGCAGCCTAAGGTGCAGTTTCCCCCAAACCCATGCACCTATCACTGTGAAAGTTGGCAGGCTTTGTGGGCTCCTCAGGGGCTAGCAAGCCTGCAGTTTTGAGCTCCCTGTGGCTTTCCACACAGGAGTCACCGGAGGTTCTCTCAAGAATTTGGGGTGCTGTTTGCGGACAGCAATTCGAAGCAGGACCCGGTTTAATATTTGATATGGCTGTTGAATTGAATATTGCCTGCTCTGCACAGCCCTACTGGATACCACGTGAAGAACTGCTGCAGAAGAAAACCCCCCATAAATCACTGGTTATGACATACCACCCTTCTCTTGAACCTGTACAGAAAATTCTCATACAATTGCAACCCATACTAGAAAGAGACACCATTCTTACAGAGATCTTCCCAGAACCACCAATCCTAGCCTTCAAACAAGCACCGAACCTCGCTAACCTCATCACTAGAAGCAAACTTCCTCGGGCCCAGAACATACCGAATGGATCCAGACCATGCCATGACAAGTAATGCAAAACCTGCCAACACACCTCCACCACCCCCACAATTACTACACTCCACAACAGAACCATCGGCATTCCTGGATCTTACAGTTGCACCTCCAGAAATGTAATACATCTCATCCAATGCACCAAATGCCCTGATGGAAAATACATAGGAGAGACCAGACAACAACTGCGCACCAGAATAAATGCACACCAGAAACCTATCAAAGATAAGAATACCCAATTACCTGTGGGGGCACATTTCTCACAAGACAAGAAACCCACTCTCTCTCCAATCTCTCAGTCCTGATCCTCAAAGGGAACTTACAAAACACTTCCCAGAGACGAGCCTACGAACTCCACTTAAAATCAACCTCCTGGACACTAAAAAATCATGGACTAAATGTAGACATTGGATTTATGTTGCATTATAACCTGCCAGACAGCTGACTCCCCACGTACCTCTCCACTATTCATCCCCCTTCTCTCTCCCCCACACCTAGCCTGTCTCTCACCCAGACTCCTCAATCTACATCTTCACTGATTACCTGTCTTGCATGCAGACCAGCCCAGCCTCTGGCTTCTTTACTTTTCATTCCATCCAGGAAGAGCACACACTAACTGCAGAAGCTTCCTCAGCCTGACAAAGGGTTTTTGAACCCAAAAGCTTTCTTAACATTTTTTCCCCCCCAACTATTTAAGTTGGTTTAATAAAAAAGATACCAGATTCACCCAAAGAACCTCGTCTGCTTAAGTCAAGGGTAGGCAACCCTTGGCACATGTGCCAGAGTGTAGCACAAAAAGGTATTTTGCTTGGCACGTGCACCTCAGGGCAGACAGCAGGAAAGCAGCTGGGGCTGCACTGCCACAACAAGGATTGGGCCCCTTGTAGTTCCCTGCCATCCACCCTGGCACACCAACATCTAACAAGTTAAGGTTGTGGGTGTTTTTGGCACTATGCCTAAACACATTGCTGAGCACTAGTTTAAGTAATTTAGGAGCACAAGCTCTGTTGATTTTCATGGGAAAAGCATTTTCCTAACTCTTAAAACGCCTACCCACAGATTCAGCTCAACTTTGCTAGTCAGCACCTGGTTTCAGCAGTAACTATTTCAAGAGGAAAATTCTCTCTTCAGACCGAGGTCCCAGCCTTCAGGTAAAACAGATTTTTACAGAAAAATAAAATATAATCCTTCATCTTGGAGTTGCAACAGAAATGCTGAGTGGCTATTAATGCTAGCAGCAGCACTATCCTACAACAAGCATAGGCAGATTAACACATGGGCCCGCAGGGCATGGGCCCAGGCCCGGATCCGGGAAATGGCAGGTTAACCCTTGCAGGCAGGCAGCATTTCAGCCTGCAAGGGATCCTATTTTGGGCTGCCATAAGTGGGAAACAGGGGTGCCGTGTGCATGCACGTGGCCAGGAATGCAGCTGGGCAATGTGGAGAGCAGCTCCATGCAGCCAGATTTGTGGAGGGGAAGGGGCATGAGAGAGGGAACATCAAAACCCCTAGGCTCCATGGTGCGGGAGAGTGGGGCAGCGGCTGGGGGCACTTCCCACCAGGGCAGTACTTGGAACCCAGAACCGGAGCAGGACGGAGCCACGAGCAATTTGTCCAGGGGATGTGGGGGGGCATATCCCCCCCGATTTGTGTATGGGGCAGATGCAGGCTGCTCGCTCAGGGCTCTCTGCTCTGTTCTTTGCCCCAGGGGCCCTGCACCAGCCATGTGTCCCCCTGCCTGCCCAGCAGTGCAAGGCACAACTTGCCACCCCACTGCTGCCATGCAGGCAGGGAGTGCACAGCCAGCACGGGGCCCCTGGTGGCTCTCCGCTCTGCTGCTTTCGCCCAAGCCCACAGTGCATCTGCCTTCACTCCACTTGGCTGTGCCCCACTCTGGCCATGGTGGTTGGGGGGGGGAGGGGAGGGGAGCAGGGGCAAGCATGTGCCACCCCACCCCCAGCCCAGCTGGGCCCATTCAGATTCCACCACAGGGCATGGAGGCCCATCCTGCCCTTGGCAATGACAGCAGCACCTGAAGGGGAAAAGGGCCCCTTACCCCCCCCCGGGAGTCCCCACTGTGGTGTGGGGGGCATCCAATTTTATTCTTGCCCCATAAATCAAATCTGCCACTGAACAGGATATGGCAGAGCAGAAGTAGTGATTCTGTCAACATGGCAGGTGCTGCTCCACAACATGGTCAATATACCAAAGCAAAACACACCCTGGTGGTTTACTTGCCATTTACATCTACGTGGTTAAATCTGATCCTCCATTTATACAAAGCAAGCCCAAGGATGATTCAACAACAATGAAAAACAGCCAGAGCTAACAGCATTGTTACTCAGATGAAGCCACCAGGGATTTATAAGCAGAGGCTGTTGTCCGTCCTCTCGACTTAGGCACTTAATGCTGACTGTGTGAACTGTAGTGATGGGCTCACATCAGGTAGAATGGAAAGCCCTAGTTAAATCATGAATGCACAGACTTATGTGCATGAAGAATGGGCTCTCATGAATTGCAATTTACAGAAGAGGGGATTCTTCACTTGCCTCTGGATAAGCCTCCCTGCCAAAGGGAGGCGGGAACTCCACATCCCCCCATTTCACTTTGCAGATGTAGTCAGCCGTAGCATCAATCTTTGCAGCCAAATCCAAAATGTGGACGCCATCTTTAGTCACAACTGTAGTTGAGAAATGCTCAAGTTAACCTTTTCCTAGTATCTCCTAACGCAAGTATATTAACACCACACTTTCCCCACTGGCTGAATACCCCTTGATACTTTCTACACAGCTTTACACAAAGTAATGACCTGTTTGTTTATTTCTCCCCTCTTTATTAATCACTTTAATGAAATTCAGCAAACAGACAGAGCCAGCACAAGGCCTACAGAATGCTAAGGCCAACTAAATTATATGGGGATGTGATTCCCCTATCCATAGCTCAGTAGACACTGGAAATATGTTTGCAACTTTCTTTGATACATATTGACAATTCATTCTTGCAGAATGTAAAACTTATGTCACTATTCCAAGTTACAACTTTTTGGCTCTGGAGGCCAGATGAATGGCATTGGGCCCATTTTCAGGCTGGATTGAGCCTGAGGCCCCATGCTGCCCCCTCTCTGCCCCATGTGCCAGGATTGGGGCCTGGGGCTCTGCACTGCCCCCCTCACCTGGTCCTGTGCAGTGGGATCAGGTGTCAGGTCCAGCATGTAGGGTTCAGAGATTTGGCAGCAGAGGAATGGTAGGACCACTCACCCGCCACTAAATTTCCGGACCCGTGGGAATCCAGCCCCATGGGGCAGACAACACTGCCACGTCTGGAGGTTGGAGTACCCCTGCCTTAAGAAAACTTTAAAAACCTACAAGAAAACTGCAGAGGAAAATTTATCCAGCACTTGCATTAGCTTCAGGAATCTTTCCATTACTTCCTTGAAACCATTCTGCCAATCCCATTTAATTTTTCTTTAGAGACTTCTGTCATCATACCAGAACAAACTACCCACCAGTCACATCTTCAACATGCTAGCAGATTCCCTGCTTTGTTATCCAATCATTTGGTAATCCAGTTAGATTGGCAAAGACAGACATATGTAGTCCCCAACTTTCAGAAACACATTAACTACTCAAAGACAGCCCATAATAAATACCACTATTAAGAAAAAGAATCCTTCGCTAATTCTCCCCAAAAACATTACCTAGTGGATTGATCTCCAGGTATGTGAAATACAGGTCTTCATAAAGGTTGAAAAGTCCGGATATGAAGCTAGCCAGTATGCTGCAGAAAAATTAAAATACATAAATTCATTAGAGCAGGCAGACACATAGCAGGCTCCGTACAGCCTGTTTTCATTCTTTTATCATCTTGGCATGTCATATAGCTACTTTGCATCAATTTCTTTCATTCTCATTCATCTCTGCAAGAAGATGCCTGGGTGGTGATGATTCAGGGAGGTCAGGCAATAAATGATTCATCTAATTAGACCCCCCCCAAAAAAAAACTGTTGAGAAAGAATTCTCAAGATTGAAAAGGAAAAAAAAAAAATCAGATGACGACAATCTGTTTAAATCTCATTAGGAAGCAGGACACACTCCCCATGTCTCTCAATGACAGATGTAGCTTCTGGCATTTTTAGTTCTGAAAACATACAATAGGGAAAGACTGGAATAAACAACACTGTAGCTAAGAGTGTGAGGAGGCATCTCTTTAAGGAAAGCCCCTCATGCTTATTATTGTTACAAATATAAAAGTGAAACCTAGTTAGTAGCTTCTCCTTTAACTAGTTGTCTCATAATTTTTGAGATCTACAAAACCATTTGCAGTAAGCTTCTGGACCATCAGATCCTTGAAGTAGCTCAGGCAGGACAAGTAGTTGTCTAGCAGTGGGTGGCAAACTATGGAAATGAATTCAAGTAGCTCTACTTTGCAACAACCCTCTTTGCACAAAGTATGAATTTTATATGTGCCTCTTCCATTTCAACATGCCAGAATCCTAGCAGGGGAGAAGTGTTTCCCCCAGAATGAAAGCTCGCTACAATGCAAAACAATACCTTTGCACTTCAGCATGAAGAAAAAAAAAAAAAAAACCCAAAAACCGACCAGGTCAGATTACTTGAATTTTTCCTGATGCAGTTCACATCCCTGCCCATGTAGTTATAAATAACCAAAAGAGGGACAATTAAGAGGGAAAAAATTGGGATCACATATACCGAAATGTAGAGGACTTGGGAGAGCTTTGGGGATAGGCCACAGGCAGGCAGAATAATCAGGAAGAGGGCGGTGTTATTATGCATCTCTGCTTACTCTTTCTTGTCCTCTGGTGCATGCACCAGGAGGTGCTTCTTCACATCGGACTCGGCGAGCTTTTCATTCACCCCCACAAGCAGCTTCTGAGCTTTGGCATCAACATCTCCCACATCCACACCCCCTTCATGGTGGAAAAGCACACAGTCCCCTTCACGGGCAGCATAGATGCATACATAGAATTCTTCCTCCTGCAGCACAGATCCAAGGGATGAACATTATGGCACACTGGTCAAAGGCACTGGGGAACTGCCTAGTTAAACTTCCAGGACGGCCCAAGTGAACCTATTGAAACACCCAACCCAGGATTATCAGGTATCCCTCAGGATGGCTCCATGCACCCCACAGAACTCTACAGAGGAGTACATGACATCCCTTGCAGGGGAAGCCTGGGGAGACTGCAGGACCCAACATGCAATGCCCTGCTCATCTCAGTGGGAGCTGCTGTGAGCCTTGCAAGCCAGGACTTGTCACATCTGTGGGCAGATGCCAACTGCTCCCATTTTCCACAACCTAAACTACAGATCTCAGGCCCCTGTTAAAATGTCCATCTTAGCTGCACGGAACAGGGCCCTACTGTTGTAGAGTTTTAAAACACCTTCTAACCAGCTTCTCAGACTACAGGGTAAGAGAGGGCAAAGCCACTTTTTCCTTCACCTCCTGTAAGCCACCTCCCTTCAGCACTCTCTCCTCTCCACGCTCATCAACACCGATTTACGGAGCAATTTACTATCTTTTCTCTGTCAGTCCGATCCCTCTTGTGCAGAGGCTCCTTTTGGTGGGCAGTAGAAGCAGCCAGCCATGCTACAAATATGTCTTTTTGCTTAGAGTCTGAAGCTTCGTATTACTCAGTTCTCAGTAACAACATACATCAATGTCACACACCACCCCCCCAACGGCATGCACCTAAGTGTCTGTTTTCTCCACTTTTTGGAGCATCAATCAGACTGGGAGCCACAGGTCAATCAAAGATGACTATGCTTTCTACAGTGCTTTAATTGGCATACCCACCTGCTTGTGAGGGACGAAGGGTTCAATCAGAAAGTTCTTCAGGATTCCCTTGGCATTAGCAATCTGTTGATAAAAGGCAGGGAGACACCATTAAAAGCCTGCACAACATCTGCACCTATGAAAGGGTAGAAAGAGGGTCTGAGAAGTCACTAACATTGATCTAACTCGAATCAATTTTCCTGCAATGTCTTGGCTGTAACACATCTGAGGAAACCAGGCTCTGCCCTCTCCAGCAGAGTGGTGAGTACCATCATGGCTACAAATATCACTAAGCTAGCCCATGTCATCTCAACATTCATGTCAAGCAAGACTGTTTAGAGATCAGATGCTCTCATTTCTCCATGATCTGTCTGTTCTCAGGAAAGCTGGCAAGCCAGGATATTTTATATCACCTACAAAGCCCAACTTCCTCCTCTCTGGCAGGAAGATAAAAGTCACTGCTGCCACCCAAAATTCACTCCAATAGTTCTCAGCTATTTCCTTTCCCAGAAGCACATTTCCAAAGGTTACACTCAGTTCAGTGCTAAAAAGCAAGCCCCAAGATATGCAGCACATACCTCTCTCTGTGGGAAAAGGCATAGCCTATAAGGTTATTGCTGGCACAGGGGAACCTATCTCAAATTTTCTGACTGGACATCACCAACAGGCAATTTTCTGAGGGGCTTTAATAACAGAACAGCCAGCTTCTGTTATTGCTGTTGTGCCCTGATAGTCTACACCAGCTGGGAACACACAAAAAAGTGTAAGCACAGCTTCATTCTCAGATGGCTGGCAAAAGTTACAGGCCATTAACAAAGGCCATAACCATCTCCCCAGCAATGGGGAGCAGACAACAGGCTATGTTCAGGCAAGACAGACTCTGCAATAAACACCCAGAAGACTCTCTCACATCATCTCAGCATTAAAGTTCAAGGAGCAGCTCTTAACTAGGGCTCAGAAAAACAGGATTGAGGGAAACCATGCCCCAAATATGACAGGCTCAAAGGGGAGGTGATAAATAATAGTAATTCAGGAAGGGGTGGAGATCTGGCTGCTGTATCTTGGTCACTATTCAAGTACCCCAGGTGTGAACTTCAGATAGCATTGGTGTCTACATTTGGTCTTAGATTGGTGGTTTTCTACCCAATGCTTTAATAGTGGATGCATGCCCTCATCCCCAAGCCATTTTTACAGTTAATCTTTGCTTGTGAAGGGAACCAGAACTGGAAGAGAAAGACTACAGGTCAGGAATGGGCAGTGGCACAGTTGCAGACTGGACATGTGTAAAACACCTGCCTGCCTTGATCTAATCCTTGCTTTCAATCTGCCACTTTCACATCCCTGGAAATTGCTTTGTTTTTTGCAGGGGTGGTGGGGAGGAACATCAGGAGAAGGGACAAAAAGAGGAGAAATACATCAGATCTCCCAAAAGCCTGATGCATGTGTTAAAAAGGATGCCTTCCTTGATTCAGTTAAATAGAGCTTTACTCGGAATGATTTTGGAACTCCAATGCACTTACAAAAACAGGAGGGAGCTCTTCAGTAGATGCATGGTCACAAAGGAGCCCTGCAGAGCCCTTGCATTTGGAGGCAGTCGATGCACTGCTCTCAGCAGTTATTTCAACACTCTTCATTTGGCCAGGGAGCAGCCTCACAGGACAGTGTTGCACATCTTCTTTCACGATGCCCTTCAGGAGCTGCTGTGCTTGCTCTGCTGCACAGCTCAGGGCTGGAACCAGTTGCAAATTACTCACAGTAACAACAAGCTATCTGCTTCCTCGAGGCAACAGACCTCCATAAACTCCTGACAAGCAGCAGCTGAAGTGGCAGGCATTTTTTTATCATTAGTATCAGAGCAGTGTTCCCAGGAGAATAAGAATTGAGGCAGTGTTGTATTAAAATACAAACTCAGATAAAAAAAAGTCAGTTGTCAGTCAAAGCGCAGTGAGAGATGCACTGATTGGCAACATTAAGGGAGTGCTTTAATGACTTTGTTTTTATACCTGTCCTGTTACAACAATGTTGGGTATCAACAAAATAGAATAATTGCCCAGCTGCAGACAGCATTCACATTGGCATTTACTGGCTCCCAAGGCAAGGAAGGGATTTTTAGAATTAAGTGAGGGAGGGAGGGAAACTGGAAAAGTAGCGCAGATGACCTTCCACCCCTTTGCTCGCACATCTGCTGCTAGAAGCTCCGCTACCATGGCAGATACCCACCGTGGTTTCTTGTCCCAGCCGCTGTTTGAGCCAACTCTTCACCTGATTCAGGCTGAGGTTAACTCCGACCAATCCGAGCTTCCCACGCCGTTTAATTAACTGATCCGGCTTCACCACCAGACACTAGAACGTAGACCGAAAGGGATCAAGGGAGGAAAATAGTTACAAGATTTGGGTTAACAGAGACACTCCTTACAGATAAACCTGAACTTCAAGTAATTTCCTTGCAGCAAACGTCCTAAGAGACAGCGTTTATTCTCTTGGCTGGCATCTAGTGTCCAACAGCTGTTAGACAAAATGCACCTCCAGAACTGACCTAAGACAGACATTAGGAGATTCCACCTCCTTCACAAAAGGAACCTCAAGAGACCATGGTCACATACACTGGGGTGTAAACCCAGCTGCTGTGCTGTGAAGTGTGGTTCTTGCATAGCAGGCCTAAAAGGAGTCAAATACAGCTGTCTGGGGAGTGTTATGGCTGAAATAGAAACACTAGGATGTCTACCCACAACTGGAGTATTAGACTGACTGAATGAAATCTTGAGAATTCAATTAATGAGGGGAGGGGGCAGGAAGAGACACAGGACAGGGACTTTTTTTCTTCCCTTCCCTGGCTCTGATGCCAAGTAAATTCCAAGCAGGCGGTTACACTCCAACAGGGATTCCTTTCTGATAAAGAATTTGTCTCTCGCCTTACCCTGAACTGTTTCAATTGTTGCTCTGTCCCATTATAAAGCTGCCTTGTTTCTCCTCAGCAGTGGCAACATGTTAGCAGAGGGTGAAGCTATACAACTTGTTTTGGGAGCTTCAGAATTGCTACAGTAGCTGTTCTAATGTCATGGTCAAAAGGGGATGTGTCCCACTACTTGCTTTCCCCAAGAGCCCACACTGGACAGAACTCACTATTTCTTTAATTCTGGTGCCTTTTGCTGCAGCAGTTCACATTAATTTAAACCTAATTTAAACCTGGTGGCCCTAGATTTTAGGAGGGCGAACTTCAACGAGCTAAGGAGGATAGTTGGAGAAGCGCTGAAGACTCAGAGGGGAGGGGAGCCAGGTGTCCAAGGGGAGTGGTCGCTCCTTAAGGAGACGATCCTCCAAGCCCAGAGGAAGGTAATCCCCAGGAGGGTCAAAGGGGGCAGGAGAGCATATAAGCCTCCATGGCTCACTAAAAACATCCGGGAATGTCTCCTTGCCAAAAAGGAGGCTTACTCCCA